TATATATATATATATATATATGCATATGCATATAAAAATACAAATATCTCTCGATGCACGCGAGCATAACTCAAATCGTACACATAACACAAGATACATGTTCTGTTCGCTTAACTCCTCTTACTCATGGAATATACAATGGTGAATGATACAAATGCTTATTTTAAAATCTTATAAAGGTCTAAGGTACGTGATGCATATATGGCAGTTCAGTTTCATAATATCGCAACTACACGGAAATAATATATGCAACATTATTCTAATTAAAATATCAACGTTATATTTAATTCTGGTGTCTTCCATAAGACATTTCCTATTACGAAATACGAACAATCACAATTGATCCAAATTTTAATTTATTAGACGATTAATTTAGACGATTATATTTGCCTCGCGGCTTTTTCATTGTTAAATTAAAAGAATATTTGATCGGGACAACGATCTTTTGCTGTTTACATCTCGCGTTTAAATGCTATTTAAGTTCAATCAAACTGATTATGACACCGCAATAATTTCTAATGATAGAATTAATAATCGTCTATGTTATAACCGTTAAATATTTGTCTTCTAATAATTTATAATTATTTGCGGGTACCTGTTTATTCTTTTATTACAGAAAACATATTTGAGAATAATAAGATAGTTTTTTAAAATTTATCTAATATTTAGTACAGAATTAGCAAATTAATGTTTTAAAATGTTTATGCATTATGTAATTTATATTATTTAATACAATTTATACATTACTTAGCATTAATCGAAAACATAGATGAACGTTGGATCTGGATATTATTTCATGAAATGATCTTTTATTGCACGTATTTACGATTCACGATCCCGTCTTTATTAAAAATATTATTTTATATTATTAAATATATATGTATATATGTTTATAACAAAATTATGTGTTTTGCGAATTATCTTCGTGTCCAAATCCATTCTCAGAATGCCACTTTATTGGCATCCGCGAAACGCATAATTTCTGTATAAAAAGTGTCCGAGGAAGCCTCAAAACATATGTATACGTATATTTATCAATACATGTTGAATAATACAATAAGATATTTATTAGTTGAATAGAAGCAGTAGAATAAATCATCTTCTTTATTTTGAAAAATGCAAAAGAAGTCTGAATAGAATATTACTAAAATCCAACTACTATTTTTTTCCAAACTTCAATCAAGAGAAAAGTTTATGTAATGTTAAAAAATTAAAATTCTACGGAAGACAAAGATTACTAATGAATTTACTGTCACGAGACGATAGATTATGAATAAAAATATTAAGTCACGCTTCGTGGAACAGATACCTTATTAAAAAAAACAGTCAAGTTTTTGACAGATAGATTACACAAGTATTCGGAAACATTTTCCTCTCGCGTTATACACCTCCTATTAGAATATACTTCAAGCGCATGATCGGATTTTGCTTTTATGTCTAGCTGTCTTGAACGCGAGCAAACGTGATCGCACGCACGAAATCGATCATTTCCATTTATGGCATGAAGGCGTGCGATATAATTATATTCTCAGTTCGAGCGCTCGTTATAAATTATTATACATTAATATGTACAACGCATTTGTAACATGAACGAGCGCGTGCACGCGAAGTATGAAAAATGTACAGCTTTGCACCTTCAATCAGGATGCGGAGCGTTCTATTGCGATTGGTTTCTTCTCATTGCGCCTCTCCCACATGTTGATCCTATTTAGCGGATAACAGATAACGGCTGACATAAGAATCAAGCTACCCGACAGGTAGAACGAGGCATCATAGCTCCCAGTTGCATCCATAAATGCACCTGTTTATATAAATATTATTCAGTGAATTGACGTATAACTTTTTTAATTTATGAATCATTATCAAGATTTATCTACGTAAATATTGAATAATTTTAACGAATAGCATAAACATTTCCTAGAATCAAAGGCGCTTGCTTTAAAAGCAATCGTAAATCAGCGTTCCAATCAGCTTTTTGCGATGTCATGTATTCCATGATCGATATCATTATAATTACCTGCGAGAGGCGCGCCCACAGTCGCTGCCACACCTTGAAACAGAAGAAGCAGCCCAAAAGCATTTGTTAGTTTTTCTAAGCCCAACAGATCCACAACGAGAATCGATCTGAGAGAAGCGAATACAGCTGCGAAAAAAATGTCTGATACATTTTGCAGATCTAACAGATATAATACAATTAAAACTAACTTATAAATTTCAAATAAAATTATTGTGTAAATAAAACAAAATAGTAAAATATATCTATAAGACGTTTATGTATAAGATGTATTTTATCCTTTTGCTTTCATTCAGTGAAAAAATTTAGAAAGTGTGTCACGTATTCTGCTTACATATACTGAGGCCGAAACTGGCTGCATAAAAGAATTGATATCCCTCGGTTAAAGAAAGGCCGGAAAACATAGTTACTAAACCACCGACGCTGATAAATATATTATTCACAACCAGAGCATTAACTCCAGGCAAACTGCTTGCTAAGCCGCAAACGATACGACCGATGGTATTACCGATACCGATCACCGAAACGAGGAACATCGCCGTAGAAGCATCAATATTAGCTTTTATTGCTCGATCTGCGAAAAAGATAGATAAAATGATTTATTCCTAAAATCTTAAGTATAAAAAACGTTGCACAAAAATGGATATTACGCGAATACAGTAAAAATTAATTACATTATACATATATAAACGGAATATGTATTTTTTTCTCTATTATAAATCTAAAACAAATAGTCAGTGGCAATAAATAGATAGTTTTATTTAATAATGTGATGATTAAAAATCTAACAATAAAATTATAACTAAAATACTTTATAGAAAGTGACAATGCCTAATCGAGTCATTGTAACAGGATATTAATGTTAATTATAATTGTGTGAAATTATGTACCGCGTATGTAGTCCTCCTCGCGACGCTGATGGATTTTCAGCATTGACGCATACGTATTAACTACCGCGGTAATATCACTTTAGTTAAATTGACACTACAATCTAACAGATTTTGATGCTATAGCATCTTAATTAGATCTTAATAATATGTTGAAAGACATATATTACTATTTAATAATGAAATAATGATAATTTTAAATCTGTGAAAATCTGTGAAAATAATAAGACTGCGAAGAATATCACAAGTTGGCGTTTCGACCCGGTTTCCATTACTGGACTCATCAGTAAGGCATTGTAATGGAAACCTACCTCAGACGCCTTGGGGAGATGTTAGAAAGAAGTTCTATATAAACAATCACTCATATAATTCTTCGCAGTCTTATTATTTTCACAGATTTTCACAGATTTAAAATTATCATTATTTCATTATTAAATAGTAATATATGTCTTTCAACATATTATTAAGATCTAATTAAGATGCTATAGCATCAAAATCTGTTAGATTGTAGTGTCAATTTAACTAAAGTGATATTACCGCGGTAGTTAATACGTATGCGTCAATGCTGAAAATCCATCAGCGTCGCGAGGAGGACTACATACGCGGTACATAATTTCACACAATTATAATTAACATTAATATCCTGTTACAATGACTCGATTAGACATTGTCACTTTCTATGATTTTAAATCTTACTAGTCTACAAATATCATCATTCAATATATATAAAATACTTTATCTTCATTAAATATATATTAAATATGTTTTTGTTTAAAATAATTATTTTACTTTTGTATTTGTTATATTGTCGAAAAAATTGATGATACTACTTCTAAAATGTTCCTTATAAAGTCATTTATTTTTTAAACATAATAAAAATAAGTATTTGAAAAAATAAGTAATTAGTTAATATACTCACCTGTTACATATAAAAAGGGTGTATAAAAACCCATCATAGTGAGACCACCAGAGATCGCTAATATTAAAAAGGACGGACTTTTTAAGAGGCTTAAATCGAGCATTGTGATCAAAATTCGTCGTACACTTTCCGGACATAGGTAGAAACTTCCACTTTCTTCCTCTGCCACATCCTTTGCTGTCGGCAATCGCGTCACCGACATGTGATAACCGACCGACGATTGCTAGAAAATCACATCGTTTCTTTATGTTTTAAATATTTAATTAAAACGGTTTGTTTAAATGTGATCAGAAATTCTACATTAGTTTAATTTATTATTTTACATTTTTTTAAAAAGTATAACAAAAATATCGATTAATCATATAAATCGCTCTGATTTTATTCTTTGCACAAAAAAAGTATTATAAAACTTTTGTATGCATTAGTATTATATATACATATATGAGAGAACATAAAATATGTTCTCTCGTAGAAGCACAAATAGAAGAAAGCGAAATATCGGTTAACCATTAAATCATTCTGATTTTATATTCTTTAACAAAAAATTATAAAATTTTTGTATACATTAGTATTATATGACACAACATATTTTATATTCTCTCGTAGAAGAGTATAAATTAAAGGAAGTGAAATATCGATTAACTATTTAAATCGCTTATCTTATATTCTTTGCATAAGAAATATAAAATTTTTGTATATGCATACTTTAGTATCATATGTATGTTATATGCATAATGAGAAAATTTAAAAGTACGTTACGGGAATATATTCGCGATAAAACTTACCTGAGATCTATAATGAGGAAGTCTATTCAAAGAGCCGCCATAGAAGATGTCGTCTCTGTAGAACGGTCTCTGTGGATCTTTCGAATTACGTTTGCCCATTCGAAGAGATTTTTGGCTGCATTCTGAATTTGTTCGGAGACGACTTATCGTATGTCGACGAATCTATAAATCGGAAAATAACACATTTCTATATATTTTCTAAAGAATAATCTATTTTCTATTGTTTTTTGCATTTGACATCTCATTAGACTTTTTTTCACAAATTCTTAAACAAAGATGTTTACGAAAACAATTAAATCACAAGATTTGTAAGATTTTTTCCAGGTCATAGAATTGGCACTCGTAGCTTCGGAAATACTAAATTTTGGTTTCTTGGCAAAAGTTAACACATACATTTTTCTTCTACATCCATATATTTCAGATATACCTACTTTACTTTGGAAACTACGAAAGACAAAAACAAAACTCGCGAAAATTCGAACTAATAGAAAGTTTTGGTCATCGATCAAGTTTGACATAATTATTTAAACGTTTTTAACGACTGATCATTTAGTTTTGTGTAGAGAAAAGTCGGATCGTGCAAGATATGACAAAAATATAACTGTCTATTTTATATTTAATTAAAATATATTTAATCGTATTCTATCGTACTTGTTTGTTAATAGAAATCTTTTACTTTTTTTTCTTTGTTCCTCTTAAAATTTTAGCACAAAATTCGATGATGAAAAATCTATCTCACGGTCGATCTATTTGTTCATATTTTCCATTCTCCTAAGATATGTATATATTCTTCATATATATGTCTTACCGTTGGTACTTTTCCATTCAATCGCTCTAAGTCGCCACTGAGCAGATTGTTTTCTTCGGCGATTTTCTCTTCGTTAGTCATAGCATCCAAATCGGGACTATCCGCAGGATATATTGGTGCGGATAACCGTTTCTCCGAAGTGCTTACATTTCTCTCTAAGATTTGAGTCTCTTCATGCACCTCGTGCAATGAATGCAGGGACTTGGATGCGCTAAACAGAAATCAAAACATTTCATTGAAAAACCTGATACCTTAAAAGAAAGTATTAGTGCATATAAGATCTTTCGTTTATTATTACTTTACTATGTTAGGGCTGCTGCCGAGGAGTTCTGCCGCCGTCGGATATTCCGTATTGTTATTCGTGCCGAAGAATCCACTTCTGCTCGGCTGCACACAGTGCAACGAGGTCGTGGACACACCTTTTCCAATTAATGTAGTTTTCACCTCGAGCGCAGTATTTTCCGGGGTGTTCTTTACCTTAATCCTTGTTGGTTTCAAAGGACGGAACATCGCGCCGAATATAGCACAATGTAATAGCATACCTGAAAATCGCATAAATCGTTTTTTTTTCATTAGATGTTAAACCGTTAATTATTATTTAAATCTTTATTTTACTCAACATTAATATACACACACAATATATATCCGCATATATGTATATATCATATACACGTATATAAATTTATTAAGTATAAAGTATCATCAGATCTTATTTTTTTAAATATAAGTATAAATGTATTTTTATATATGTATACATATATATGTTTTATATATGTATTTATATATATATATATATTAATCTATTAAATATATAAATTTCTATTTAAAATAACATAATATTTACTTATGACGTGTAATATGCGAAACAGGTTATTACGTGAGTATCATAATTGATTAATAATTTTACATTTATTTTATTATCATAATTGATTGTTTTTTTTATACATTTAAACTTCCGAAGAGAGAGAGAGACTTTAACATGAATATATTTGACAGTTAATTTTATATGCAAATGTCAGTTTATGAATCGAGATATAAAATTATGCGGAATGAGAATTTCGTATAGTTTCATAACTGGTAGCTAAATCAAACGTATCTTTTAGATGCTAACTTTATCTTGCGCAATCTGACTTTTCTCTTGGCGTAAGCAATATGCATACCTGAACCGTTTATGTTATTCATGCCAATCTGTGTTATCTAAGCAAATATGTGACGTATCATGATATTAAGTAAGAAAGGGGCAGTCGCGTTATTATTATTTTTCTTTGATGAGCAAACATTGATAAAATTAAAGTCAGCAAATTTAATTGAAAGTATAGTTAAGAAAAAATAGAGAAAAAAATAATTCTTTTATTGTACCACTTCGTGCAATGTAGATGTAATAGTGCATTTTTATTTTTATGATATAGATTTTTAATGGACCTATTCAACTTTTCTACACACAAAACTAAATCATTTATAAACAATATTCGAATCTTATTAATCCGTACATGTAAGAACACAACCAATAAGAAATAAGAATTAAAGATCTATAACGGTCAAAGCTGGTCTATGTTGCTTAATTCAAATGTAAAAGATATATATACTTTATATATACATGTATATATACCATATTTATAACTTTATTTAAATTATTTATTATTGCTAAATCATTTATTATTGAAACAATAATTTACAATATCATATTTTTTATAAAAACAAAGGAATATTTTACATAGAAATATACATTAATTAAAATTTTAATTAAAATTGCAGGTATTACCATTTATAAATAATTTCAATAAATTCAAATTTTTTTTATCGATATGTTATATGAATAGTAATATATGTATACTTGTAAGTTAAATTAAAATTTTAATTAAAATACATTATTTATTTGTGTAGCAATAAAAACTAAATTTTAACTAAAATTATGTTGCTTTTAGTCTTCAATTTAATAGTTTTTTTTTAAACGTATATGATTTTTTTAAATAAATCAATATTCACCTGCTTGACACAGAAAAGCTCCTCTCCAGCCAAAAGTTTTTAAGAGTAAATTCGAAAGAGGTGCGAGTAAAAATGCACCGATACCGGAACCACATACTGCGATACCTGTGGCTAAGGCTCGCCATTTTTCAAAATAAAAACCGGTAGTTATCACAGCCGGCACGTATATTAGACCTGCTCCAATGCCACCTAAGAAAAAAAGTTTTATCTTAAAAAAAAACTTACATAAATCCAATACTGATTTGTTAAAAAATATATTAATCAGTCTTTATTCGCGGAAATCTCTGATATTGAATTTTTCTCTAAAACTTTTAAAGTGAACGCTCTCACTCTGAAATTTCAGTCTTAAAGATTGAAAATTGAGTTACTTTTTTTAAAGATTGCCTCCATTTTTACTCTTTAGAATGAGATTACACTTAGAAAGAATTTAGAGTTTATTCACAATATAGATCTTAATCTTTAATGTATAATATTATTATTTTAATATATATAATAGTATTATTTTATAATATTAACTTTTAAATTAATTATTTTAAAATCTATTTGATTTCGTATTCTCTTTTTATAATTTTTGAAAGTACTAAAATAACATCTCTAAATCAATGTTGATATTTAAATATCGGTAATAAATGCGGTCCAATACTCTATGCGGTCTATTCTCTATAATCTTAACGTCAATGTCGGTATCGTTGTATTGTTGTTGAGCAAATATATATAGTAAAAAAAAATTGTACAACAATAATATACTAATAACAATATGTCGTTAAAAGTTACTGAACCGAGATACAGATCATCGGCAGGATTTCCCGCAGGATTGAATAAAGCAGTTGGAAATATCGCGTACGTAAGAGAAATTGACAAAAACAATTCTTAGTGGAGACGCTAACTACTTCGGCAAGACATATCCGAGACAAAGGAAAGAACTTACTTACCAATTACACCATAAGAAATGTAAAGGAATTCGATAGAAGTGCTGAAGTACGCGAGGACGAAGGCGGCACAGCTTATCACACTTCCTAATATCGCCACCAGTCTAAAGCCGTATCGATTGGCGAGGGCAGATACGAAGGGACCTGAGAAAGCGATAATTTAATTCGCAAAGTTGTCGCTTGACCGATGATTTGCGAACTTTTTACTTTTAAATATCTAGTTGAATGAAAAGACGCAAATTTTCATGCATCACTTTTTACGCTTTTTATCGATATGATTCTAATGATTCCGTTTTTATTATCCCTTTATACTCAAAAGTATATTAATTATTACATGCACATTATATTTTATAATGGCTTATTATAATGGTAAATACAAGTATGGAGAAACAATATACATACATATCGTATGTTTGTATAACTGATTCTATCATGTTAATATGATAACGTATTATACAATATTAAATTATGTCGAATTTATAAATATATTAAAAAAAGTATCTTGCGTGTTTTATGACATAACTGGAAATATAAATTCGAGATATCGTTAAAAAAATTTTCGCCACACACATAAATTTACTGAGAAATACCTATAAAATTATAAATAAAAAACGTATAAATTATAAATTCAAAATGCCTGTAGAGATTTTCCTACTTTGGTTTATATTTTTATTTACATCTATTTTATTTTAATTGATTAATTTTACGCGTAAAATATCAACTTTATTATTAGCTAATTTTTGTATTATATATTATTGAAAAGAATTATCTGTATAAAATGCAAACATAAATTACTGTGTATAAATAATTTCTAATTTCTTTAGACCGGAATGTACAATTTCCACAACATTAAGGATAAATTGTAGCTTACGTCTTTTTATCACGGGTAGTTAGCCACAATTTTGCCAAGTGTTTATATCGCTAAAACTGATTATAGACGTTCTGTACGTGAAGTATTCGTACTATATAATTTTCCTAAAGTAATATATAAACTATCGTGTATTTTTCTTCAAATATTACTTTCAAATAATTACATACTATGGATATAATATAATTAAATGCGCTTAGCATTTACGAAATGTAACTGTTAATTATTGATGTCACCACATGGATATGAGATCATAAATTCAAATGTATAAAATGTTGTTGAACGAGTTTGACGATAAATTGAACGCTAAATGGAACTGTTTCTGAATATATTTATTTTTCTTATACTGCGAAGATCCTTGAGACTGGTCATACAAACGGTTACTTATTACGATGCCAACTCGGTGCGAACACAAGTGTACATCGCACAATATATATGTGCAATTTTATCAACTCGATATATATCAGGAAGATTCCATATATGAGCGTATTATATCGTTGTATTGTACAAACAAACTTATCAATTGCGTATATTTAACAGAAATACAGCTATCCTTATCGTATTTTCAGTGTCTTGCACAAACGTGTTGCGTTAACATTGTGACATGATATGTCAAAGAAAAGTAAATTCTAAAGATCATACAATATTCTAATTTTAAAATACAGAATTTATGTATGAAAGAATTTAGAGATTAAAATATGACTTATTTTGCACTTTACGTTCTATTTATTATAATACATTCTTCATAAACAAGATAAATTATTCAAGTATTTACTTGCTTATTAATTAGATATATACATTTTTATGCAATGTAATATTCCAATTGAATGTAGTTCCTTTGATATGACGTATTGTTATGCAAATTTGATAGATACTGATTTGCTGGAATGAGAATGCATTAAAAATTTTATATGCCGTTATAATGTGTGGAACGACTTTTAATATTTTTTTTATACAGAGAAGAGATTTAATAGCTTTTGAATTAATTTTACGATTAATGTTATGAAGTAAAAATTATTTTATATATTTTTGTATTTCTTATTTTAATTTATTTAAACTTATTCATAACCTAAAAGTGTTCTTTGTCTCACTATAAATTCATTTGATTGGCACACTTCTTAAAATATAAAGAATATAAAAATGAAAAATTGTTTCAAAGTTCTCTAAGTTCATGAAACATTTTTATTTTGCAAAGCATCTTGTGGAAAAGGTGTTGTATTTTTTTTAATATTAAATACGCAATTTTTTTATATAAAATTATTTATTTAAAATAATTTTAAATAAATTATTTTACGATTAATAGGTACATAGATCTGATATTAAATATTACGTACGTGTCATTACTAACCCGCCATAAGATAAAATCCACTCTGTAACGAGTTAACGAATGCAACACTCGCTTTCGAAACAGAGAACGCATCTGCGATGTCGTTGAGAAATACGCCAAAACTGAAAATGATACCGTCGACGAAAAAGTTGCACATAAAGGAGGCTGCAACAATCACCCAGCCCCATCCTCCGTCAGGTGGTACAACCATTTCCACTTCGATGGTCTATTGACAAATGTTAATGAAACATTTACGATAATTAACAAATAACTTTACATTAAATATCTTACGTAAACTAATTAGTATCTATGTAAAATTATGAGAAACAACTGTTTATGCATGTTATTGCAATAACAAATTATTGCAATTTTTTTCTTCTTTATTAAACTTTTAATTAAGCTCGGGTAATGCTGTATTAAAAATTGTATTAAAAATGTACAAAAAAAATTTATTGATATATTTTATATTAACTATATATTTTTAAAATATATATCAATAGGAAAAGGCAAGATTTTAGATTAATTAAACGTGGATAACTTTAAAAAATTATATATTATTGCAATATATTATTTTTATATAAAAATTAACAGAATAATTAAAGCTTGAAAATCAAAATGTGTAATATTGCATAAAAAAAGCACTTGAAAATGGCCAACTTATCTAATAAATAATCAATATGTAATCAATAATTCACAGAGCTGCTCTGTGAAGTCGGCACCACCCCTAAATGCGAATTTTGATACAATCATTATTGCATTCTCGTTTGTCCACTGTTTGTCCACGTTTGTCTACTCGTTATTTTCATTTGTCCACCCTCCAAGAAAAAGTTATACATAAAAAAAAATTGTAGTACCCCCAAGTGATTATTTTTCATTATTATGAAAAATATAATAAAAATAGAGTTGACAAACGAAAATAATGGGTGGACAAACGAATGCAATATTGATTTTACCAAAATTCGCATTTAGGGGTGCGGACTTCTCAGAGCAGCTCTGTGAAGTTGGCACCCCTAAATGCGAATTTTGGTAAAATCATTATTGCATTCGTTTGTCCACCCTATTTTTGTTATATTTTTCATAATAATGAAAAATAATCACTTGGGGTACTACAATTTTTTTTGTGTATAGCTTTTTTTGAAGGGTGGACAAACCAAAATTTGCATTTAGGGGTGCCAACTTAACAAAGCAGCTTTGTGAATTACTAAATTTGATTAGTTTTGCCCATATTATTTTATCGTGTAAAAAAATGCAAAATTGAAAAAAATATGGTAGCTTCTTGCGATGGGTACTATAATATAATATATCAAAATTTCAGCCAAATAAAAAATCCAAAAGTTTTCGAAACTTGGGATGGAATGCCCCATATATGTACATAAAATTTAAAATGTAATAATCGCAATATCTGATTTATATGAGGTTTTAATACCGTCTTTTTATCTTAATATTATATGTTTATTATTAATCAAATTTTATTAAAAAATATTTTGCATTTGTAAATATTTGAAATTTAATCTTAGAATAAGTTTAACATTTTTAAATAAAGTTTTATTGATTATTAATTAATAATTAAAGTAAGATACTAACTATTATACCAGAAAATTTACGGGTTATCGTCGTGTTTTTCTTCATTATTGATGCCAACGTTTTGTGAATCATGCCGTTCACTTCATCATACTTACTGATATCAGCGCACTCCTCGCCCTGATGAAGTGAATGGCATGATTCACGAAACATTGGCATCAATAATAAAGAAAGACACGACGATAACCCGCAAATCTTATGGTATAATTGAAGAAAATACACGTGAAAGCCTCAAATGCATAATACTAACTATTATTAATTTAAAAAAGTAAGATTTACTAATTATTATTAATAAATTATGAAAAAAGCTAATTTGAAAAATTAATTATAAAACAAAAATTATAATTTACACATACATCAGAATATGATATAAATTATTCATTTAATATTTTCCAGAATAACATGGTTAATAATTTTGCTGAAAACAGGTTAAATCATTTCTTAATTATTAGCTTGAGAAATAATTATACTTTTTGTTAATTATAATTAATGCTATATTTTATTTGCATAAAAATGTACATGACCATTTTGCGCAAGCAGCAGAGTATGTTCAAACTACATGTTAGAAAGTTCGTGTCTCGACTATCAGTCAATTTTAAAGGTAGATATGTAATTATCGCGTGAGCTGTTTTCTCCCTTGTGAGAAAACACAATACGATAGGTATTATATACTGAAGCTAGTTTGTGTGGAGAAGCGGCACGAAATCAGTTAATTTGCGAGTGTCTTCTTGATATTTAACATAAACCTGATTTGCTTTCGCTCGTTGGAAATTTACAAGGTGCCTAAGGTCAAGGCCATTCAGAAAGCCGCCGAGAACCCGGTTTTTGGTATTTTGACTGTTTCGTAACTCAAAACTTTAAAATTATTAATCTAACAGTTGTTAAATCACGTACATAATAAACATTGTTGCAGGCGGCATTCAATATAAAATAATTTATTTTATAAAATCTCTAAAAAGAAAAAATTAATACAAATTTATTTTTCTAAGTAGAAAATTAAAATTTTTTAGTTTTCAAAGAGATGAAAAGGAATTTGTGAAAGAATGATTTTTTTCTCTAAAAATTTAAAAACAAATCTTAAAATAATTCTATTGAATTATCAATGTAAATATACATATATAGGACGCTCAAGCTGGTTACTAGAATATCAACATTTTTTATAGCATTTCTCTCGTTATATTTAAGTTTCCTATATTATTTTGATGATTTAACAAAATTATTTTCAGATCAGTATAACTATATATAACTAAATAACATTTTAGCAAATGTTCTTTCCACGTATGCTACAATCACATTATAATTTATATGCTTATACCCCATCATATTATAATGCATAAAAAAATGTATTCAGTATATTAATTCATATGTTCGATCTATTCTCTCAATAATCTGAATTAATTTAAATACAGCAACTTTATGAAAAGAGTAAAATCATTGCGTGAAGTATTTCTTACAATTCAAAAAATGATCATGACGGTTTTTATTTCTATCGATGACAGAAACACTTTTCTGCACCATTAAAAACGCGTATACGTGTAATCCAAAGAGATTTGTTGTCCGAAAGTTCCAGCTTATTTGAACAGAAAGCAGCACGTGTTGTCGGTCATTTACAGTATAAAAATCAAGAAGAGTCTTATCGTCGCCCGCGTTGCTCGTGTTCGCGTTGTTAATTTCCAGACAGACTAGATAAAAAAATTCAGTCGGGAACGCGTATCCGCCCCTGAATGACCCACAGCGAGACAACGACTATCGGGTCCATTATGTGTCGCAAATAAAGCGATATCGCGTTTGCAAGTTTTACAGCGCACGATCTGTCCGTCGCTCTCAACGCAAGCGTACTGATCATACAAACAGAACTGACAGCTGTCGCGCGAACGATAGCACACGGCACGATTTTTTGCATCTTCTGCATTTCGATGCACCTACACGCGAAAAAATGTCGCGGAAAATCACCTCGTCGTTGTTATTATCATTGACGTCCTCGAGCTGCAGCTCCTCGCTCTTGTTATTTTCGTGACCATTTTGCTGCAGCTTACTAGCGTCAGAAATCTGTTCATCCACTTTGTCCACTGTTGTTGACATCGTCCCTTCCGAATATCTAAAACACGTATAAAGCGCCACTTAAAATATGTTCAACAATAACATACAATAACTAACAATGTCGATGAACGTAATCTATTAAAAATACATTTGATTTACCAAAGACAGGGTATGAACCGTGCCATCCGTATATCTAAATAGTATATCAAATGTTGTAAACAAAAATGAGAGAAGGGGAACGTAAAGTGTCAATCTCTCTGTTTTTCTAAGATATTATGATTAGTTGAGTGGAAAAAGATAGTCGTCTTTGCATCTCCTACCTCCTTTGTTTTTATCGACTAATTTTACACATGAATGGCGCAATCTGTGTGTTTAATTTATATTGAAATAAAGATATTACGTCTTGCAATCGATTTGCTAATGCGACGTTTTTATTCTCAATGTTTATCTATTATACAGAGATAACTATTACAACATTTTTGTTTGAAACTCATAATAGACGATAAATTAAAAGAAAGAAAATGTCTTGGTATACGCATCGTTTTGCTAATACGTAAGGATCTCTAACTTTATATTTTTTTTGCAAAAGTTTGCAATGACACAATTCCACTGAGAATAAATGTTCAGGATTATTGTAGTTTGAAGGAATGCTTCTCTAAAATAGCATGAATATTTAAAGCGACATTTACATCTACTGTATCGTATGTAATAGAACTTGAGTATATGATTCTTGTCATTCGCATCAGCATCCAATCTATTTAAATTCATCTTTTAAAAAAAAGATTAGGTGATTTCGCAAATAGACTGATTGTATGTCGTTTTAGAGCATGCTCGAATATATAATATATTCATGAAATATAATGCAATTACACCGAGGAAAAAGTTATAATAATGACAACAAAACAGGGAATTATTTTCAAATGGTCGATTTTCCTTGGTCAATTCGTTAAAATAGCAAAATATGGTATTATTTGTTATAGAAGTTAAAGTGAAATCGAAAATAATTATGACAAATATGACAAATATTTTTTATTTATCTTAAAGAAAAATTTACGTCCAAATCAAAATAATACAAATGTAGATAAAAATTATCTCTCTGCATTACGCTATCTGAAATATCTTACATAACATAATATCCAGCAGATATTATAAAAAGACTCAAAGGCAAATCCGCCATTTTGTTCTTATTAGCATAATCAATGATAGCCCTTCCTTTTTTTCACGTATACATAAAGCAATAATGTTAAGATAAAGGAGTAATTTGATTGTTAATTCACGGAAATGAAGTGTCGGACTGATTGACGGCTCTCTCTCTCTCTCTCTCACACACACACACACACACACACACACACACACACACCCACACCCATACCCACACACAATCACTTGCTTGGCCTTGATCTTTCAAATTTCATCTTTTCTTGATATTTCTATTCAAATTCAATCGTAGGTATAGTATTTTCATTACATGATATCTTGGATAAACGTTTAAATGATAAGAGCTACTTGAAGATACATACGTTATATGAGCTGATTGTTTATTGGTGTCATGCGGTTAGTTGTTGTTAATTCTGGAATTTAATAGCGACAATATAATTGATAGCTAAGATTACAATACGTTATCAAGAACAGTGAATAAACAAACAATTATAGGATTAGATGGTTTTGTAAATTTCGTTATCACAGTCAACTGTTTTGCCATTAGTATCGAGCCATTAGTGTCTAAGTTAATTTTTTGAAATACTTTAATTAATTGAAATTTTTTCATTATCGAGAATGTGATTAATTGATGTTTCTTTATCGGGAAATTATTATTTGATGCGTTTTGAATCAATCTTTAATATTAGATATCTTCAGAATTAATCTTAATTAATGAAAAAATTTACTAAAAATGTTACTAAAAGTTTTACTATCTATTTATTTTCTTTAAAACTTGATATTTGAGAACGATTTGTAATTTCAATCATTTTAACAGTTTTTTTTTTATTCTTAATGACAAACTTGACTCATCTGTGATTAAAGAAAATATGGATAGTAAATTAATCAAAGAATTTTCAATCATACATACAGAGAAAAACAAACGTATTTTAAGATAAATTTATGTCCTATACGATTAAATAAATTAAAACAATCAATTTATTAAAGTTCTATTTATTGATTGAATAGATGTTTACAAAAAGCTAACGGAAATTATAATTATAATATTTTACGCATTTAAAGTATCGAATTTATCTTTTAAATCTCATGTTTGTTGTCTTATAAATTGATAAGATAGGCTCAAATCCAATTAACAGATAAATATATTAATATTAAAATATTAAAAATAATGAAAAAGAAAAAGGACTACGAGTCAAAAAAATTCGTTATAATATATAATTATTTGTAAATAATTCTTCTTTATAGAATTCTTCTTTACGTTATATTCATTGTTTTATTATTTGACTCTCTTTTCACATTTATTTGCATTACCGATGTTGTTTTTGACAGAAACAATTATTACACGCTTTCGCAAATCACATTTAAAACTAAACGAATTACATTGTTTTTGAATTCTTACTGGTTTGCCGAATTGTATACGACTACAAACTATGCGAGTGAGATTGCACACACATTGTTATATATATATTTTTTTATGTAATTTTATAATTCTATAATTTTTGAACTGCGATCTTTGTAACATTGAAAATGACCTAATAGAGGTCGAAACGTCTGTTATCTTGTTTTTCTAATTAAACTACGTAATTTTAACCAAATGACAATTTTTATTTACAAACAATTTTATATTTTAACGAATTTTTTTGGCTCGTAGTCCTTTTTCTTTTTCATTATTTTTAAGTTTATTGAGCCTTATTACAAACATATTTTAAAAATATTAAATAAATATTAAAAATAAGTCTTTAAAATATTGTCTGCTGTGACCGAAAATATTTAAGCAAAATAATTATATCTTATACAACGTATAAATAACTTCTTCAATTCGAAGCATTTTTTAATATTTGATACCAGTTTTATTGCTTGACCGATTGCGTCAACTCCTTCTTCTCATTTCATTCTTTTTTACTTTTTATGGCGCCTTGCAATGTATACGTGGTTATGTTGTCTGTCTCTCGGATACAATATCGAAAACGATTAAAAAAGTATGACCTCATCTTACGCGCATTTACATGCTACTTGTAAAAAATTGTATTATGCACTGCTTCAGCAATTATCATGCAAACAGAATTGTGTAAACTTTCTTAATGGAAACTGATATTATATTTATTTTTAGTATGACATTGCTTATTTTATTATCTGTAGTGATCTGAGAAAGGAGAAAGTAAATTCAGAAACTGTAATATTGTTCCACTTTTTTCTTGCTGTCCTTGATAGAAGACTATCTGATCGCAATGGCGATTTTAGTCATCAGAAAAATATTTAGTACAGACATATATATTTATGTTCAAATAAGTATAACCAAATGTTCTTAATAAATCGTTTATTATTAAATGTTCTTAAGTTTCCAATATAACAATAAAAAACACAAAAATATATAATATTTTATATTAATATATCTTTAATACCATGTCTTTAATTTATTATATCTGTAATATATTTTGTTTTACTTATTATATTATATGTTATTGATATTATATCTACAATATTTAATTATTTGTTTATATTTACATAAACGTGATATATTATTTACTTGAATATTGATATAGATATTAAATCGTGTCTCCAATCATGAATTTAATCGTATAATTAGCAGAATATTTTCTGATTCTTACTCTAACTGATATTATGAGACTATATATATGACCGATTTATAAGACTAATTAGGTATACAGCTATGTAAAATCCAGATTATGACTTATTCATCGGCTGTGCTATTTGAGATATAATCAGTAATACAGCACACTTATTTTTGATTAGATAAGTAGATAAGATATAGATACTATCGTACTATTTGCATATTACATCGATGAGTGACATTGCATAATAGATCAAGTTTTCTGTCATGATTGAGTTTGTTTCTCTCGAATAATTTCGTAGACTATTTATAACATAGAGTTTATCTACTCTATTTTCTGCTTTGCTTATTACAAAATTCGGTCTGCAAAGATTTACATTGATAAAGTAAAGCATATGTACGTAACATATTTACATATACGCGTGAGATATTGTCACGATGCTTTAATGTAAAGATTCAGGCATTATTGATAACAAAAAGCTCGTAATTAGGACAGAGGAAAAAATGATGAAACGAGATAATCGCGAACTCAAACACGTTTCCATAACTGCTCGTAATAATCGTTGTTATAAAAACGAGGGTAGTTTTTGCGAGAATTGATAATTAACTCTTCAAACACTAAGATAAATCATTATCGACGCGCAACGGACAATGCAATTCTGTTAACTCGCTGATAAATTATGCCTGAGTAACTGTGAAGCGAGCAGATATCTTACTTTTTACCAGATAAAATGCCAATAAAGCTTCGCGATTTTACACGAAGTTGTAATCGCCACGTGAGGCAATCGCGGCTTATCGATCGGCAATAAATTACTGCCACTTCAAAGGGAATTATCACTCGCAAGGGACTAATGAATAGATCAACATCCAGTCAGAGTGATAACTGTGATGACCAAGAAGCTTGCCTAAGAAATAGAAGCACAGAAACTAAAGTACACAAGTTTATTGTATTTTTCTAGAATAAAAAAGATATGCAGTACGCTTCCTATACGCGAAATGTATCTCATTAATTTATGTGCCTTTAACGTCGAATAACAATACGGTATTGTGATCAATCGATTTATAAGTGGAACAAAGTAATATATTCTAATGTAATCGCGAATGCAAAGTGCAGCGTCAATATATTTTTATTGGTAACCAAAGTAATTACTGCGGAAGTTGGTAAGAAGTAATTAGCGAATAAATGCGATATTATCAGCTATATAATAATAAAATGTTTTTTGCATTTATTGCACAAAGTACTTTTCTTCTTTTATCTATTTAATGATACTATCACAAAACTTTAAGAAATAATATATTTCGTAAAATATCTTGTTCATCTGATAAGT